TTTAACGATTTTATTCGAAAATCGATAATTTTGAGCTAATCGTTAGTCGTTTGTTTTCTCAAAGACTTCTTTCTTATAAAAGTTAATTTTGTTGACCTTTTTGTTTTATACTATTCAGAACTGAAATATTTATTTTATTTTTGGTATTTTTCAAGCATGTGTTCATTATGTTGACAACTTTCAACTTGGACTTCAATTGTGATATTGCTGAAGAATTGTTTCGCAAATAAGATGATAGCAATTTGATTTCAAAATTATCTACTCCTGATTCTTTTACATGTTTAAAGGAGAGGGTGATGTTTTCGGAAGGATAGCCCACTTCAATTCTGTTTTAATAATTGTTTCTTTTGAATAACTTTTTTTTTTTTAATTAGAAAGAAACGAGTGTAACAGTTACCTTTTTTAAAACTGTAATCGTAGGCTTAGAATTTTTGGATACATCTGCAGAACCAGCGTCCGGTATTCTGAACAAGAATACATACTCAAAGTACTAATAGTGGTGGATATTCTGCACAATATAGATCGGGTGTTTCCCCTCGGAAGTAGCGATAACTCGTGTATTCAATAGGATTTACTTCCCTTGTAGATGTATCCTAAATTTAGACTGTTTAGTTTTTTGTTTTTTTTATGTATTTAAATGTACGTCATTTTCTTTCTTTCTTTTTTTTTTTTTTCTCATTTTCTGAGACTCAGAATTGACGAAGTTGTATGTCATAGTTGGAAATATTGCTAAAGATGATTTTATTTAATTTGTCTTAACAACAATACTCTCAAGGTGCTTTAAAACAAAGGTTAGGAATAGAATAGTTGATTCACATGTCGATAACTATGTCAGTCAGTCACTTTTATTTCAAAGTCTAATAGATAAATCCACTTAGATTGTATGACATCGCATACTTCTAGTGATGTCTAGTGAGAGATTCTGACCATAGGGTCGTGTGGTATGAGCGTTGGACCGTCGTTTGGATGGTCTCGATGGTCCCGAGCTCATATTCCGTCGTCCTGCGAGAGGTTTGGGCCAGGATAAAAATATCTTCAAATTAAAAGAACAACCGAAACGTTTAAAACTCTTTACAAACTAATTGGTCAAACAAACAAAATAGCAGAGACAGGTCTGCCATAAAGTAGAGACAGGTCTGCCATAAAGTAGAGACAGGTCTGCCATAAAATAGAGACAGGTCTGCCATAAAATAGAGACATGTCTGCCATAAAGTAGAGACATGTCTGCTATAAAGTAGAGTTATGTCTGTCATAAAGTAGAGACAAGTCAACCTTTCAAAAAGGGAAATATATATAAATATAAAATCTTTTAATTTGCTAGTTTCTTAATGTAACTTTTATAGAACCATTGAATTTTACATTCGCTGCTACTTTGACTTTTCTTTTTTTCTCATATATATCTGTAATAAGGAGGGACAGTTCTACAAACGTCCACGAGATAAAAATATATTCGAATTTCGACGGGTCAGAAACTTTACCGTTTTTTTTATATCACTCTTTTTTCGCATTTTCGCCGCTAACACTTTTAAATCTATCGGCTGGCAACACTGTTCTGATTAAGAAGTGTCCGCTTCAAGCATGCTCATAATATATAAATGCGGCTACGGATTTACGACAGTGCGTCTTAACAAGGGTCTTACCCTCTACAAACTAAAAAATCTACACTTTTTAAAACTAAAATATGTAAATAAAATTTAAGAAAAATTAGATTATTCTTCTAGATCGTTATAAGTATTAATATTCATAAGTGAATTTTTATTCAAGCTTTCGAAAAATCATTCCCCAGGGCCTTCACATACTTAAATCCGGCCCTGTCTAGTTAAAAACTGTGTGTTCTCGTATGGCTACAGGTCTTTAGTCTGTTAGAAAGAATTGGATGAATTTGAAATCAGCATGCAGGTCTTTGTCCTTTTATGTTCTTCTGTGCCAAACCAACCATAAATATATATATATATATATATAAAGCTCAGCAAAATTAATAGAGTTCTCTTACTGTCAACAAAAGTTAATTATTAACGAGAAAAACTAACCAGCAACGTAGAAAAGACACTTCGCAGTCACTGAAGAAACTACAGCATCACCGGGTAGGATAGGCCTACTGTAATTATCTTTTCAGACTTTAGGATGCATTTCACTTATTATATTAGGGGCCAATTCCAGAATTTTTAATGGATTTTAATATAGGCGACAAGATACAAGTTAGCATTAAATTTAAGGTTACTAAAACAATGTTAACTGTTAGGCGGGTGACTTCGAAAAAGATCCGTGAGTTAAATCACATGATTCTTATAGGCCTTTGACTTTTGATTGCGATATATAATATTAACAGCGACTAATCGGTGCTGATGTCAATGTTTTATTATTTACAAGAACACTTATTCAAATGTAATCGTAACTTAGATTGGTTAATGACTTTGTACGTGAATACCTCCACTTGATTATTAAGTAAAATATGTTTTAGGCATACCTCAGAAAGAGAAAACAACTTCTGGCACTGATGATGCGGCTTCATTAGAGATTGGACTTAGAGACTTCTTTGAACTGGTCAGGGCCGCCGCTACCTATTGTGCAATGCGTGCAGTGCACGCAGGCGGCCGACATTATTCCAATGTTACTTTAAAAAAAAAAATTAAAAATTATTTAAATATTTTATATAAATTCTAATTATTCCATTATCCTTTGAAAATATAAACGATATTCGTACATATAAACTTCAACAAAAAAACAGAGCAGCATAAGAGTGATTCCCACCTCAGGTTTTTCCATAGGCGCCTACTCATTTCTGGCCTTGAGTTTTCGCGGGTTGTTTGTAATATTTGTTTTTAGTTGAATAGCCCACACTGTATATATGCATGACTGAATGCATGACGCGTAGGACGTAATCATCTTCTTTTTTGAAGTAACGTCTGTATTATATAAGATAAGATAAAAAGTAGATCTATTACCGGTAATTAAAAAGTCATTTATAAAAACATTTTCACTGGGGGGGAAGGGGGCGCTAGTTCCTTTCATCTGGAGGGGGAAGGGGGCAACGTCCTGACAAATGAACAGTGTAAGTGTAAATGATCATGATGTATATACAATTTCTCGAGAATATTTTTTTCGCACCCCCCCCCCCCCCCTCGTTGTTGCTCAGTTGTTGGCTTGTAGCTCCAGCAACTAGTACAACTGAACCGATGAAGGTGTTTTATATTTTTTAATAACTAAACTTTAAATAACTTGAACAAACTTCTTTGTGAACAAAAACTCAATATAATTGTTATTATTCACGATTTAACTTGAGATATAGATCTAATAGTAATGAAATAAACTGATATTTAAACACAATCTAGCTCACAACAAAAAAAAGTCTTTACTCTTTCATGTCTTTAGATCGCCTCACATTTGCACTAGGTACGCTAATTTCATCATTGTCCCTGCATCATCACCAATCAATCGCTTAATCTTTTGTCACTGCCGCCTAGGAAAAACACACACTCTTTATATGAGAAAAGAGTCCTTGAAATCACAACAAATTTCCATAAAGATCAATAAAGCAGTCTTAGTCTTAGTAATGTACCTGCTGCAGGGCTGCAGCTCATCAATTATAATCGTCGCAAATACAGGAGCATAAGCGAGTAGTCAGAACGAGATCAGTTTTTAATGTTTACCACAAAGAACCAGGATGTCAGATTTCTGTAGGCACGCAAATACGAAATTGTTCCTAGTGCATGATTCCTAGTTCTACTTGAGGGTACAATAACGGTGCTAATATGAAAGGAAATAATGGAAAGGTCTACATAAATGGATTTAAATCAAAGGACACTTTTGGAACAGTGTCCAGCTCAGTATTAATGGCATTTTGTTTTCTAGAAGAAAAAAAAAAGGGGGGGGGGGGCGTTTTTAATTCGCACGCAGGCGGCCACAACCCTCCCGGCGGCCCTGGATTGGGTAGTCAATGATGTGCAGCGCAGACCTGAGCCATCTTTTCTTCTCCTCCCTTTACCCCAGAGATACATAGGTGTCATGTCATGTAGTGCCCATACAAATGTTTTATTACTAAATGTTGTTGTTGTTTTTACTTTTCAAGCACCCTCTCTCTCTCTCTACCTCTCTCTCGATATCTCACATCTCTCTCTACCTCCCTCTCGATATCTCACATCTCTCTCTACCTCTTTGTTTCTTAGGTTGAAAGAGAAACTGTTAGGAATGAAAAACACAATTCTACTACAAAGATTTGTCTTTTACTAACTGTTTTCGTAAATATTAATTTTTAACTATTTTGGACATACATTTTTCAAAGACTATTTTAGAATACAACTTTTGACAGACTTAAAGCAAAACGAACAAAACAAGTAGCTGCAGCCAGGACAATAATAAAAAATAACATTATGAGAAACTTAACGTTAAAGTAGGTTTTTAAATTATTCTGTCTCGAACCTATTGAAATCCAGGAACTGACCAGCGCTGTTTATAAATAGGCTTACGGGTATTCATACGTGGCGGGAAAAGTAAAAAAAAAAACAACTTAATACACCGAAGCACTAAAAATAATATCTAAAAGTGTAGGCGTATGTATATCTAACTAATTGAAGTGCCTAATTGATCTACTTAAGGGATTTTATTACAACTATTTCGTAAATTATAAAACAGAATAAAAATTGTATCATCATTTCTACTGTGCAGCTAGATGATGTAACAAGAATAAATATTATTTTTTTTTGTGCGCAGGAAGTGGGAAAATTTCCCGTGGGAAATGAAATGAAATTTAAATTTCGTCTGCATGTTTGTAGCAATCTAATTTTTCTACTTTCATCTAAATTAGACTTCATACAGAACAACATTGTGTTCTGTCCTCTTGTGCTTGTGCATATTTAAGTGATACTGGGATCTCTTTTTATTTTTTTATTCTTTATTATGTTTTGATTTTAAAAAATCAATTTTTACAGTCTCGCTAATTTAATAGCAAAGAGCGAACTGCGTCATCTATTTATGAATTGAGATTTTGTATTGAATATTAAATCTTTTTAGTGAATCTCAGATTGACATTCACCAGCACGGTATTGTACACCAACATTGTAGAATGCATGTGTGGAGATTTAAATGGATGGCTTTAGGATGGCTGCCTGGTCGTGCTGGACTGTCGTTTAAATGTATCGATGGTCCCGGGTTCAAACCCTGCCCGCTCCCATCCCAGTCGTCCTGCGGGAGGTTTGGACTAGGAAGTAAACTATCTTCAACTCTGAAGGAACATCCGAAACATGTAAAACATAAAAAAAACACCAAAAAAAAACAAAAAACAAATGAACAAGGTCAACACCCAATAACATCGTTCACTTCTGAACTAGAGACACATAGCCTCGAAAAACTAAAAAAGCGAAAAATACATTGTTTTTTAATACATATAGGTTTATCTGTGGCAATTACGTCTCAATTGACGATCTTCCCGCCCCCCCCCCCCCTCTGCACTTTCACCTTTCTTTCTTCTACTGTTGTGTATGGCATCTGCAATCCGGGACCTTTCCCTTATGCTCTCTCTCCATGTGGGTCTATCCAGTGACACTCTTTCCCAGCTGCTAGTGTCGATTTTGAAGAGCTTCATGTCGCATTTGCATACATCAGTATACCGTAAAAGTGGACATATAGGTTTATAGAATTAGTTAAAATAGTCAATAAATCGATGTCTTTTTTTAATGAAAATAATAATATAGCAGTCTACTGGCCCCAATCGCCGGTCCCTAAGGTCGCCTCTGCGGTCTACCTGCTTCACTAATATGACCACTGGGCTGACTGCAGACTGACCACTTACAACAAGATCGGATAGTTTCTGTTTAGAGGATGACGTTAAAGGTCATCTGTTTCTGTGGCCCACGTTTCACGAGGGTGCCATGCACAACAACCAACCGCCTTGACTTTTCTCCAACTTATGTTAGTACCCATTAGAATTAGGTGGACTCAGGGTCACCCTAAGAATCCCGAAATTTATAATTCCAGTCTTCTTCAGGATTCGAGCCCGGGATCCCTCGGTTCAGAAGTCAAGCACTTTAACACTCATTCACAGCGCCTCCCAAAATAATCGAACAAAAAAGAAAAACGAACAAAAGTGATTGGGAAATAAATTGGAAAAAAACAACAAAGACAGACAATATTCAATGTTTATTGCACCATATTTAAACATCACAGTTGCCAACTAATTATTAATAGTGTTGAAAAAGTATATATATACACAGGAGTTATCAGTGTTTCAAATTGCTGAAAAAAAAAAATTATGTCTATTTGCTTTTCCAAATGCACAATCTAGCTAAGCTTCCGTGTACTGTTTGAACTTAATACCAAATCTGGACTACACAGAATTATGAATCTAATTCAACGTTCTCTCTCTCTCTCTCTCTCTCTCTCTCTCACACACACACACTCTTTCCCTCCCTCTCTATCTCACTCTCTCCCCCCGTCCACCTCGCCGTGATATGTAGACCGTCTTGTTATATTTGTCCTGCCGGCATTGTCTCTATTGCTTGTCACTTCTGTACATGTCTCTATTGGCTCATTCTATTTCCTCATATAAGCGTATGTTTTTGTCTTCGAAGAAATAAGTCACTATGAAGAGAAACCGATTCTCTTTGAGTTGTGTCAAGAATTAAATCTGAATAGAAGAAACACACAGCTGTTTTATCCTCTTTCCTTTCTACACTGAGAATAACGTGTAGTTGGGTTTCATTCATTTGGATAACAAGTATCGAATGTGAATTGGTCTAAACTAGACCAGTGATGACCAAATCTAGGATCCGCGGGCTGAAGTGCTATTCAGCCCCTGAAAACTTTGAAAACTTCTCTCCCTCCCCCCTCCCTTTTTTCTCTCTCACACACATAATAAGCATAAAAAAATGGAGACACTTGAGCACGTATCAATCCATAAAGTCCGCCTCTAATTTAGCGCTTGTCAATGTCAGAAGTTGGTAGGCCTTTAGAATTCAACGTCTTGTTTTATATCGCAGTAGTCGGTGCCCTTATAATTTTTTTAAACGTATACTTAGTGGCGTAGTAAGGGTGGGAGAATTTGATAATCTCCCCGGGTCCCCACTTAAAGGGGGCCCCAATGAGAGTTCGAATTTTTTAAAACTAAATAGGCCTATTAAATATTACGCAAAATGCAGGGGCCCCCAAATAGGTCAAGCCCCCCGAGCCCCCCAAATGATGGCTAATTCCTAGCTACGCCACTGCGTATACTTCTATTACTAAAAGAAAGTAAGTATGCATATATATTTAATTAATAAGCAAAAATTATGCGTAAATACATTGTGATAAATATAAAGGTTTTACTTGTTGATGTATTTATAGTGTGGACGGATGTGTTATTGAAATGCAAACACATTCCTTATTCGCCTCATTTCAAATTCACGACTGAACTTGAAGCATTTCAATACATCCATCTTGATCTAGTGTTTTCTGGGTTGAAATTTTTGTTATTACAAGCTATTACTTGGTACCATCATTCCTCCTTTCGTGTGCATAAAATATATAGATCTATATAATAGGCCGATAGATCTAGATATAGTTTGCTGAGATTTATAGTAGGCCTAAATTAAAACTGACTTTAGCTATTTGGAGAGTCATTTTAGAGCACAATTCTACCTCAAGTCTTTTTTTTCACCATTGATGAATTTATTATTATATCGTCATTGTGTCCATGGTATAGAGTCTACCGTCTTCATTACTTGGATCAATTGAAATACATTTACTGTTAGGTATAGTGGTGAAAAGATCGTATTGACATCGATTAAGCTTGTGCATTAAAATACAGACCAGTGCAGTGGGATATTGAGTGTTTCAGTCACAGACATATATATATATATATGTCTATGGTTTTAATATTATTGACTAGTTATGTTTATTGATTTTAACAAATTAGATCAAATTTGAAGGCTTCATATTTAAAACATAAATTTAAACTTAAAATGTTGTTGGTTTGTTTTTTTTCAACTAGATCTAAATGTGTAATTTAGATTTACAAATATGTTAAGAAAAAATATAACCATGCATTTTGAGCAATAATAATGTGTTGTTTTTTTAAGTTCAATTTATTTTGCATTAGAAATAAGACTATATTGAAACTTTGTTAATCAATTGTGCTGATAAATAGATTACAGCTGGGTTTCTTTTTATAGGCTTTTTTTTTTAAGTCATCAATTGTAAGGATGTAGAGTTTTATAAAAATTTTAGATGTCAATATATATTTTCGGGTTTTATTTTTGTTCAGTGTAATGTCTCACACAATAGTCAAACTAAATCTCTCTGTTACTTGAGCTCAATGTCTCCTAACCAGTATAACATTATAGGTTTGGCAGATGTTGTTGTAGATATTTATAGGCAGGAGAGGGCATTCACACAAATTGGGCTAGATGGAAGGGGGGGGGGGGGGCCTCTAAGACACTAAGACTCTTGATTACATGATTTTATAATGTTCTTTTATAAAGGTGTCCATAGAGCATCTTGATAGGTCTTCATCTCACTTTCTAATTTATTAACCTTTTTCTAATTAACTTTCCTTTTGAAGTGTTATGTTTTTAAATCTTTTTAGTTGTATCAAATAGTTTCATAATCATGTATCAATATTATTTATTCCATTGAAAGATGGACTTGTAGATCTAAATTTCTTTTAATCACTGGTAGAACCTAACCCTGCATATTTTCCATTTTCGATGCATTATCAAACTTGACATTTTACAAGGACAGGAATAGATTACAAGATATAAAAAGTTAATTGTGACAATGTCAGGGCCAATTTTGACAACCAGTCCATTCCTGTTTATAGTTAAAACATTCTAGACAGGAAGATTATCAACTGAAAAAAAAACCTTTAAAAAACAGAACATCCTAGGTTTAAACCTAACCCAGACACATTTGAATTACAGTTAAAGAATATCAGCGTTGCTTGGGCTACAATGATCAGTACAGTTCAGTCTCAATTGCAATAGAGATGATCTGGACCCATGTATTTAAAGTTTATGAAATGATCTGAATTGTGCTAAACATTTATTTATTATTGAATATAATGTACTATTGGTCTTTGACCTATTTGTCTTTTCTTTTTCTACTATAAACTTGCATTTTTAAACATTTTTTTTACAATGTCTTCCATAATCATGTAAATTTTTTAAAAAAATGAATAATCATGATCTAAATCCCCTATTTAATCTTTATTTCAAAGCAATCTTTTCAAAAAACAATTTTTTATTTTATACATTTTCTAAGTTTTTAAAATGTTTATTTGATATTTTCATTTTTCATTCATTTTAGCACACAAATTTTTTAAAAGGAATACAGTTCCTAAATATATGTAATAGAATGTTTCAGCCTATTTGATATATGGTATAGCTAAAAGCAGGATCCCTTCCATTACTCTTGACCCATGATGCATTTTAAAAATTAACAAATGTTTCATTTCCCTCAGTGGTCTCATTCAGTGAGGCTGGGAATAAATCTTGAAGTTGCCTAGGGCAAGATCAAGCTGAGGCATCAAAAGCAATTTTTGTCTAAAGCCTCACTGTCAACAAATTTGAACCATCTTCCCTTATGTAAAGATATATCTTGTCATGTCCATCTCTGTCATCCTTTCGGAACAGACGTCTCAATCAAAACTAGAATCCTGATGTTAGTTACATTTGAAGAAAATGTTCCATTTTGAACTAGAAAAACATGAACACTATTTTTAAAATGAATCTTAAATTTATTTTTTTTGTGTCTCCCTTTTTTTTTCTTTCATATTCTTTACCATTTTACATATTTTAATTATTATTACATATTACTATTATTATTAAAATTAATAAATAAAAAGAAAAAAAATGAAGTGACTAAGTTGGGTTTTTTCATTCTGTCGTAGATAAAAACCAAAGCACACTATCTATAAATGTGAAGCTACTACATCATGTTATTGACAGAAGAGAAAGTGTATGTCTGCCTTGTCCTGTGGTATGCACTTTGTACTTGTCAATATGGACTCGATGTATTGAATGAGAAATTAGATGTATTGATATAGAAAGAAAAGAAATTGATGTATTGATATAACAGAGAGAAGAAACTATTCAAGTAACAAAT